AGACACTAGTTGGGCCTCCATCTGGTCCAAATGGAAAATCTGAAACAGGGCCTCATCTTTTAGAAGTGGACATACCCCAATGAAAGCCACGGAGGATGGAAAACTCTCTCCAAAAATAGGGGCAAAAATATTTTAAGTTCCAAATTTCAGCAAAACAGGTCTGGATGAGAAAAAAAAACCTCTTAATTCTTAAAGAAGGAAATGAAGCTGATGAGAATCTAAAGTTTGGAATATGTATCTCAGCTTCTGAATTACACAATGTGGTCAGACATTCCTGCAGGTTATATTATCCTGTCTTGTTTTTTCCTCCCATACTATTTCGGACATATATCAGATTTGCCAGCCTAGCCTAAGACAGTTTAATGGCACATTTTATTTTATACAAAGTAAACTGAATTTTTGTGAACTTATATTTCAACACTACCACTGTACTTGAAGGAGTAGAAACATTCACTGCTAGTTTGTTATAGTGTGTTGCATGAAACCATCCACTGTGATTTATTCAGTAAATCAGATTTAAGCAAGCCATGAATTAATGCACAAGCTCAATCAAGTTTATCCCTTAATTCCAATGAGGCAGAGAAGGTTGAAAAGGAACACCAGAGAGAAGGACTATAATTTCTTCTCCTCTGCTTCTGCCACTAACAAAACAGTTTTACTCCACCTCACTGTAGGGCCAGCTCTACATATTTAAGAATGACACTCCCTACCGTAGGAATTAAAGAGCCTGAGGTACAATAGATTAAAGAATGTTAGCCTGGTTTACTTTTTTTATAGATATTTTTTATCCTGACTATTTTAATTCAATGCAAGGACACACATAATGTTCCTTCTGCCTATTTTTCACACAGCAGCAACACTGTGAGGTGGGTTGGGTTGAGAGAGAGAATGACTAGCCCATGGTCACCCAACTGGCTTTCATGCTTAAGGTGGGACTAAGACTCCTGGTTTCTAGGCTAACACTTTAACCAGTAGACCAACTTTTGTCTCATAATCACTTCCCTACCTGCCAATCACATATTGTGATATTATATAACAAAAATATATTTTACAGAGAGGCAACTGAGGCACAGAGTACAACATATAACATAGCCCCACAAGTCAGTTTGATAAAAAAAAAGGCTATATGTAGAGTTCCTTATGATACAAAAAGAATAAGTAGTTTTGCAATTCTTCCAACTTCCCTCCAAGAAACCAATGCAATGAAAAAGTTAGACTTTCACATTCAACATCTTTTTCTTTTAACTCTTGGTTTCATTATAATCTCTCCTCTACAATATCCTGAACAAAGTGGTTAATGATCTCATTCATTTTTAAGAATCTAATTGTTTTCTGTGCATGGTCTAGCTGCAGGGTAGGCAACCTTGGTTCTTTTATGACTCGTGGACTTCAACTCCCAGAATTCCTGAGCCAGCCATGCCATACTGGCTCAGGAATTCTGGGAGTTGAAGTCCACAAGTCATAAAAGAGCCAAGGTTGCCTACCCCTATGTTTCCCATTTAATGAAATAAAACAGCTGTCCCCAAACTTTCTGGCTCCACAGACCAGTAGCAGCAGCAGCAGCAGCAGCAGCAGCAGCAGCAGCAGGGGAGAGGCGATGGTTTCACGCGTGCAACCTAATCCCATGCATGGGCAAATGGAGCTTTGCCCACTTGCCCACCACTTGCGTGGACCAGTTTCCAACAGGCCACAGACCAATAGCAATCCGCGGACAAGGGGTTAGGGATTCCTGAAATAAAAGATTCATAAGTCCAACACTCCTCCTCACAGCTATTCAGAAAGAAGAACTTATGGAAAGTGTAAGGAATCAAAATTCCAGGTTCTCTGGCTCATAGGATTACCATTACATTCTAGTACAATTCAAAACACTTATATACCTTTTCAGATTAAAGTTAATGGGTTTACATCCTCCCAATTAAAAGATTACCACCATATTTGCTTCAAAATTCTGCTCAAGGGCAAAATAGGTGACGATTCATTATTTTACTTTTTAAAATCAGCACTTTAAAAAAAAGGCATTTATTGAAATGCCTGAGAAGTTTTACCAGAAAGAACTTCAGTTGCTTTTCCTACCGTCAGCAGTCAGTTATATTGCTCAATGACATGAGCAGGAAAAATGAATTACACACATTGAAAACAAAATGCAAATGTCCAGAATTTCTGTAAAAGCAGAAGATCCATGGTAGTATACTATATTGAAAACTGAGTAAATCTTACAATACTTTTGGTTACTCTAAAGAAGAGAAACAAGTTAACTAACTAAACAATAAGTGGTCACAGATTTAATATTAAATGTCTACTTTAATAGCAAGCAAATATCACTCACCCAAGAAATTTGATTACTAACCCCCAATCAATATAATTCAGAAGAATAGCAAATCTTCAAGGCAAAAAGCAGCATGAAAGAGTTCAAGTAAAAGTAATTAACAACTTGATTTAATTTATTTAAATCTTAAAGTAGGGTTTCTCATTCACTATAGCAAGGGTACCTAGTCTTTTAAAGAAGCACTATTATGGGCTGTTTAATGCTGTCCTAAGGGTCATACTACCAAAATCAATACTTTTTAGTTATGGGAATAGGATTACTCCCAGCATAATTAATAATTTCCTCTTTTATCACATGAAGAATTACAGGTTGTTGCAATTTTTGGAGGACCTTTGAAAAATGAACCCAGAGTTTTAAGGATGCAAATGTTATTTTGGGACAACACATTATATGCCTCTGCCACAGAGTTAGTTGTTGGATCAAAGCTGGATTTTTATTATTGCTAATTTGTATGGTGGGTAACTGTTACTAGTCTTCATTTGTATGGCTTCCTCTAAGATCTCAGTTCTGACTTCATCTGTTTGACAGTTTTATTTAATCTATTATCAGTTGAACTGGAAAACAAGTCTGATCAAAAATGACAAATTTACTGTAATAAATTAAGCCCACCCAAGGAAAGTTCTCAATCCAAATGAACTCACAGATTAAATTGACCCCGCACAAAGTCTAAAGTTGGAAGACTTTGGTTAGATATTGCTGAACTAAAATTTTCAGCATCCTTCATAATTGGCCAGGATGCCTGAGAGTTGCAGTTCAGCAACATAAGAAAATCCACAGAATCTTTTTCTGCTGGCCAGCATTATTTCTCCTGTGGGTTTTTTGCCTTCCTATTTTCATCTCCTGCAGATTATCTGCAGTCACATGGTCAGAACTTAATCTCAGATCATGTGAAATGTAAAAGAAATGCACGTTGGTAGCACCTACCAAGTAACTTCCCCAGCACCATCCTTCCTATGATGCAGCCTTTGCTTTCATGCAGGACTGGAGTGTGTACACAATAGCAAGCCAAAATGGGATTTGCTTCCTTGTGTTTTATCACACATGTGAATTCAACTACTGTGGCACATAAACAATCCTTTCTGGTTAAATATACTGGGTGGATTCAACAAATTGTAGTTTCTTTAATAAATCATGATTATATAAACCATCGCTTTGCATGTGTAAAAAAAAATGCAAATTCATAAAATGACCTGAACACCTCTTCTTCTATAAATTAAGCCATGCTTATAATAATCCTAACTTACTTCCTGCTTCCAGTGACAGAGCCACAACATGCATTGCAACACTAAGCAACTGGTTCATTCCATGAGACAAGCAGTATTCAGTGCGCCAGAAAATGGCTAATTCTGCATCCTAGCAAGTATAACTGTCACATATAACTTTATCCTTAGAAAACAAGCAGCCTAGGAATTTGACAGTGCAAAAGGCCTCCACAGAAGGTTAAAATATCTGGGCCTCTGCAAAGCCTGGCACACATACTGAACTAACAATATATTTTGGCAATGAGGTCAATGAGAAGCTGTCCTTGTGCCAGTGACCCGAGCTGAACAACCAGCCTTATAATACCATCCTCTGCTAAGAACAGGTAACTTACAAAAGAATTATGCATTTGATGAGAAGCACAGGCAAACTTGTCTTACAAGCTGGATGCATTTTTTTTTTTTTGCAAACGGCTCAGCAGTTTAAAAATGGAAACTATAAAATGGTTAGTTGCACCACATTTTAACAAAACGCTTGCTCCTTATGCACTAAAAAGGACCTTTAAAAGAAAAGATGTTCTAACTTGTGTGTGACCTTCAGCAGTTGCAAGTCATTCAATAAGTCAGTATTAGAGATAAAATAAAGTAGGAACCTAAGCTCATGATGTGCCTAACCCTTTCATGACATCTCAGTGCAGCTATGGTAGCCAGGCTCATAGTTTAGTGACAAGGCTACATTTACCAGATAAAATCTGAGTGTCATAAGGAGGGAAATCAAATAGGAGGAAGCTGCCGATTCTATTTATGTTCTTCAGGCATGGAAAGAAATGGGTGGCACTCCTCAAGTTTCTAAAGGCTACCAAGGCATTACTTTGCCACTCCTACTCCAACTACTTGAATTAAGTTTGTTCCTAATGGGACTAGACTGCTACAACCAGATTCCTCTTCTCATCAACTCAGAAACACAGCAGGTGGTTGGTAACAGTGGTCGCCCCCTAGGACTTGCGTGTCTTGCAGGTTGTACAGCACACCTTCTGGTGCTAAGAAGTGTTGGTGTTCAGTCAGAATTGGCCTGAATGCCTAGCTTTAGCCCACTGCGTTTCCTCCTCCCGCACCTTCTATATTCACTTTTCCAGCAAGTTTTTAAAACCTACCAGGCTACAACCCCTTTGCTATTTTTTTCATGGAGGAATCAACGAACAGATAGATACGACCCTTCATCTTGCTTCTACCTAGGAAAAGGTACAAAATGACTCTATAGAGGTATATCCAGCTGGATTTGGAGGGGACTGAACGCCTTTCTCTCTCTGGGTCAATGAATTCCCGATGCCGGACCTTGTGTACGTTTACCCAGAAGTAAAGCCCGCAAGAGTCAAAGGGAATTTCCATTGAGAGCAGCCAGGTTCGTCTTTCTCCCGGATCACCCTCCAGATCCTCCGGGTGGGAGATCCAGTGAGGGGGGGGGCGATACTCACCGCCTTCAGCTGCTCCAGCCGGTCCTTCATCGTGGTCGGGTGCGGCTCCTCTCCCTCGGCCAAGCAGGGAGCCCAGGAGACCTGTGCACTGGGAGGGCTCCTCCAGGAAGTGGAATCCCAGCGCGAAGCCCAAAGCGAAGCTTCCTCCTCTTTTGCTCACTCTCTAGGAGGGGCATCCAAGTTGCACCAGGGCGGGAGGGAGAGCGTACATGCCGGCATCCCCAGCCCACCCCGCGCAATCTCAATCTGGCTCTCGCTCCCCCGGCGAGCCTGATCCTCCGGCGCTGAGCTGGCTGCAGCTGCTAATCCTCGGTGACAGACGCGGAGGGAAAGAAAAGGGGGAGGGGGACGGGAGAGCGGAGGCTCCGCCCCCTTTACCTGGGCAGAAAGCTCTCTTAAAGAGACATCGGCCCGGACAAGCGGCTCTGTTAAAGAGGAGTCGTGGCTTCGCCCGGGACAATATTGACGACACGCTTTTATGACTCCCGCGACTTCCTCTTGTTCTAGGTTGGGTTGTTTTATAAGCAGTAACAAGCCGAACGGCAAGTCCCTGAAATCACACCGTGACCAGGTGAGGACGGCTGAACATCCGCGAGCGCGGTTTGGCTTCGTTGACTTTTAGCAGAAGGAAAACAAAACAAAAAAAAAACCTTGCAGGAACAAGCCAAGAGGTGAGTATCTGGGAAGTTTTTAAAAGAGAACCAGTCATGGGAAATAGGCCTAAAGGTCGGAAGGCAGAAATGGGTCAAGAGAAGAGAGAACGCCACTGTTTCCCCGCAGGCTTTTGAACAATCAGGGATGTAATCATTTCCGGAGCCCAAGGTAAAAAGAATTGCACCAGCTGCCTTTCATGCTGAGGTCTGTCCAGGCCAACGATTCTCTCTGCAATAGAGGAAACGGCAGAACCTATTAAGAAATTTGCTAGAATGGAGATACAGGTAGCCCTTGATTTGCAACAGTTTATTTTAGTGACGTTCAAAGTTACAACAGCACTAAAAAAAAAAAGTGACTTATGGCCATTTTTCACACTTACAACCACTGCAGCATCCTCATGCGTACGTGATCAAAATTCAGATGCTAGACCACAGACTGATAGTTATGACTCTTGCAGTGTCCTGGGGTCATGTGATCACTTTTTGTGACCTTCTGACAAGCAGAGTCAATGGGGGAAACCAGATTCACTTAACAACCATGTTACTAACTTAACAACTGCGGTGATTCACTTAACAAGCGTGGCAAGAAAGGTCATAAAATGGGGCAAAATTCACTTAACAAATGTCTCGTTTGATAACAGAAATTTTGGGGTCACTTGTGGTCGTAAGTCGATGACTACCTGTAGTAAATCTGCTCTTTGGCTGAGAGATTTCATGGGAGAGCAAAGAAGCAGCCATCTAGAAAAGGAAGAGTGAATAATCCTGTATATAAATACATACTAAAATTATCCGGCTTACAAACTTGTCATGAAAATATGGGTGAGTAGCAAAACTGTATTTAAGTATACTAAAACTACATACATCATATACATTATATCAAATTGGACTGTGGGTAATTTTGTATAGGAAAATATTTTTTAAAAAGAGGGAGAATGGGACACCAGTCCATTAACCTTTCCCCCCCCCCCGGAGTCTAAAACTGAATCCTGTCCTGGAATTTCTCCTTGCTTAAAGTGGGGCACCTGCAGCCCGTTGGAGAGGGTTATCATGAGATGGAATACTGAACTTGCAAGATAATTTATCTCCCCCACCACCACATCAAAAAAATATATTAAATTCAGTCTTATGAAATCTCTGAATCTCACTCAGAATTCTGCAGTCATTGGTGGAGAAATTTCTCCTATATCAGGGGTAGGCAACCTTGGCTCTTTTATGACTCGTGGACTTCAATTCCCAGAATTCCTGAGCCAGCATGGCTCAGCTTGGAAACTTTCCCTTTCCCCTCAGCATGGCTGGCTCAGGAATTCTGGGAGTTGAAGTCCACGAGTCGTAAAAGAGCCAAGGTTGCCTACGCCTGTCCTATATGGAAACAGAATGATCTTTATTTGAAAACCTCCAGTGATGGAACATCCACAACTCCAGGAAGCAAGTTATTCCATTGTTTAATTGTTCTTACTGTCCGAAAAGTTCTCCTTACTTCTAGGTAAGATCTCTCATTGTCAAACTTTCACCTATTACTTCTTTTCCTGCCTCTGGTGCTTTGGAGAATAAGTCAATCCCCTCTTCTCTGTGACAGTTGAGTAGTTTTAAACTGTTTGAATTACATAAAGCTTCTTGATAGTTTTTGCTTCCTTTTTCAGTATTATACATTTGGTATTTATCCCCTTGTTCATTTATTTCATCATAAGATATTGTCTCATTTATAAGACATAAGAAAATTGTGTCCCACTTAAAGCATTGTGGGTTCATATCTTTCCCTCATGAAAAGAAACACAGTGTTATTTATAAAATATAAGACATTTATTCTAGGCAGCGGGCCATTTCTGCTGTGGTGCCCATATTATGGAATTTTATGTCCCCAGAAATAAAGCTGGCCTCCCAACCTGATTATGCCTCAGGGGACAGGTGGGCACTCCTGAGGTGACTCCCTTATTAATATTGTCATTATTAAATTATTAAATTCCTTCCATTTATTATTTTCTTCTCCTGTTCTAGCTCTGCTTTTATAATTTCTAATTCTTTGCAGTAATTAGTATATAATGGTTTTAACTAATGGTTGTCATATTTATTTACTGTTTTTATTGGATTGTTGTATGCTGTCCAAAGTCTCTTTCTGTGAGGTGGGTGGCCATATAAATTTGAGTAATAAATAAATTTGAAAGTAATAATATCCAAGCCATTTTTTGCCATTTAGTTTTTAGTAAAGACAATCAAATAAAGTTGCTTTCAACTTCATGACATTCTTATTCTTTTTTTGTTAGCGGCTGAAGCAATGAATGAGGACCCCAGTGTCCATTCTCACCAGTGGAAAGGTTATGGGAAACCCATAAGCTGGGATTCAGTGTTCAGGGTATCAAACAGTATCCAACAAAAATTCTTGATGACATACTACACTAAGCATCTCATTTAATTTGTAAGAGCACAGTTGCCACCATCTTGCCATCAACTCTTTAATTGTCACAGCTCTTTGATTAAAGTCCGCCATTTATTGATTTCTATTTCAATCAAATTGGCTTCCATTTCCGGTTATCAAAATGTGAAAGCCACAAATTCCAAAGTTTAACTATGCTCTATATGTATATGAAAGACTATTTCTTTTTGTCTGTCTCAAATCTGCCATTATTTAACCTGAAGAGGAGAATTAGAATAATTCCACCTATCTTTGGTCTCTACTGTTGTTCCACCCATCTTTGGTCTCTACTATTTGTGATTCAAGTATGGAGAGTTTTGAACTGCAGAAAAAAAATGATTGCATTACTTTTTCTGAATTTTTGAGAACCATGGAAAATTAAAATTCTAAATGTCAGCGAGACACTCTGAGGATAGAGGTGATTCTCTGGTGCAAACTAATGGAGAAATTAATGTTCTCCCTCATCATGTGTCAAATATACACTTGCTAGAACATATTGTTGGTTAACAAATTGCAATGCTCAGGGCAGAATCGTCTTGCTGCTTGCCATCATTTACATTGTAGTGGGATTGCAAACCCTAGTGACCTATCCATACCTCTTGATCTATGAAATTTCTGCTTGATATTTACAGTCATTGGAGTCCCAAGGTTAAAATCTGCCTTCTCTCACAACTGGTTAGACTTAATCCCATGGTGTAGTAAGAACCTCACAATTCAGGACTGCAGTCTCCAAAGGCAGGCTGGTTGGACATAAAATGGAGGGTACCTACATTTCTTACAAGCTGAAAATGTTTTGCTTTAGAACAAATGCTCGTTCGGGGCTTTGTTGGATAGATGGCACAGAGATAGGTTCATTACTTAGGTGATAAGAGATGTCGTTCCCAATGGCTATGTATGTTTTAGTCGTGCATATTGCCTAATATGATATTTATTTATTATATTTTTAATCTGCCTTTATTATTTTTATAAATAAGGCAGCAAACATACATAATACTCTTTCTTCCTCCTATTTTTTTCCTAAAAGAAGTTGTCTCATGACACAATCTTTCCTTGAGTAAAATCCACCAGCAACACTAAAGGTACTGATAGCTACTTCTATAAATACAGGTAGTCCTTGACATACAACCGTTCATTTAGTGACTGTTCAAAGTTACAGTGGCACTGAAAAATGTGACTTATGACCATTTGTCACATTTATGACCATTGTAGCAATCCCTATAGTTACATGATTTATAATTGGATGCTTGACAATTGACTCAGATTTATGACGGTTGCAATGTCCTGGAGTCACGTGATCTCCTTTTGTGCCCTTCTGACAAGCAAAGTCAATGGGGAAACCAGATTCACTTAACAACTTTATTACGAATTTAAGAACTGCAGTGATTCACTTAACAAATGTAGTGAGAAAAGTCGTAAAATGGAGCAAACTCACTTAACACATTTCTCAATTAACAGCATAAATTTTGGGCTCAGTTGTAGCCGTAAGTTGAGGACTACCAGTATTCATTGGTTAGTTAAACTATTGTATGAATTTGAAGTGGGACTATGTGATCTCTCCAGGATTCTCTTAATTCTTCAGAGCTAAAGTTTTCTCTGAATGAAGTTATCTAAATGACATCTAATTTAAAATTTTATCTCCTAAAGCCGATTCTCATGATTCATGATTATGTTTCGGTGGTTAGAAGAGAAGCAGTGTGACATAGGGTTGATGTAGAACTGGCATCATATTCGAGTTGTTCCCCACTCATGAAAGTTCACTGGTTGACTTTGCACCATTCACTCACTCTCCCAACCCAACTCATCACCCAGGACTGTTGTTTTGGAGATAGAGAAATGACAACAGATGGCAAAAAATACACAAGTACTCAAACTGGCAATAGGAGCTGGAGCAGCCAATGAGAAAATGGATATTAATTCTTCCCTTTCTAGGATTCAACAAAAGGTATGAATAAGGTCTGTTTATAGCTGGAACTAGAAATGTATGCTCAAGTTAGGGGAAAAAAATATAAGAAACTGGTCTCTGCAGAATCACATGAATTCTTTTAAAAATGTAACGGATTGAGAATAGAATTCTCTTGGAAAGTTTATAATTCCACAGATGTGTCAAAGACCTCCAATTACCTTCTTCCAAGAAAAAATAATTCTGGGTAAGTGGTAGCATCTCTGAAAATTGTCACA